ATGTAAAAGTAGTAGAACCCAATATAGAAATACAAATACTGATATCAACAGAAGGAAGTTATAATACACGTAAAAATACTTTTATTGATACAAACGTAGCACATCTACAAGCAACTCCTGTTGCAAAAGTACCAAATAACACAATCTCACAATGCTTTGGAACAAACTCTCAATTTGCCCTACCCAGAACACACGACATCTTATACACCACGATTCGTGTTTAAAAACAGTTCCTAAACTACCCAGAAGGAATAGTTAACTCTCAACATGAACTCTCTTAGTTTGTTCTTGAGATCGTCACATTGTAAGCTCTCTCTCACTCTTGCTATATTTTTTTCATCAAGAAGCCGTGTCAGAAAAACTCTTCTCTCGCCTCGTTATATTAGTTTTTTTTACTAACCAATATTTCTGAAGGAGCACCCTTCGGACCGGCAGACTCTTCATTGTTTTGTACAGGGAGACACTGTTTCACCTGTCACATCACTCTGTGCAACGCACCATACTTCTGCTTATTGACTTTCGCATAAGGTCACTTTCTTGATAACTGAAACACCGTCTGCACGATATCTCCCACTTGCTTTCCCATGGCTCGAGACACTCATTGACATTCACACATGAGAAGTTGACTTCAGCTTTGCTCGTCTTCCTGTGTAGCACAGGAATCCTCACATCTTCTTTGATCCTTAGTTGGATGCATCTACAAAGTCAACAATAAAGTAATTGTTATCTGTGCCTTTCTATATGGACGCTATTCTGATTTCCATATGTTTCTTTTGAGCACCTTCGTTTATAGAGCTCATGATTCGCCTTCTCTTTCTCCGTTGCCTCTGGTTGGTTGGTCGTTTGGTCGTTGCGCTTCCTAGTTCCTTCCATCCATGAATACCGGCGTGGTGGTAGTGGTTCCTTTATCAATTGGCACTTGTATGTTAGTATAAAAACGCCTTTCATTAATTTTGATTTAAATGTTCGGAGCATTCTGTAAAGATTATCTGTTTAAGAATTACCCATGGGTTGGCGTTGAATTGTTCCTAGCGTCGTCAATGGATTACGTGGATATTTGTGGTGATTGTTATCTTCGTGGTTCCGGACGGTTTTATCCTCCCTCTGATGCTCTGCTGGCGAAGACGATTTACACTCTTTAATTTTTTGGATGGGTTTGGGTGTGTTACTGTTGCTAACGATGGAAGTATTTATTTAGGAGGGGAGTGTTTCGTTACGGGGCTTGAGAACTCTGTACGTTATTTAACATTTGAAGTCTTTAGTATGCATTGAAGGATTTGGCGTTTATTCTTGGCTCTTTGTGGTGGGCTTTATATCTGGGCATTTAATTGGGTTGTGGTTTAAGGGAAACGGTATTGTTGTTGCCTTGAGTCATCGAGGCTTGAAACTTAATAGTATTCATGAGTAGAGCAAAGGTTTTCAGTAAGGGGAAGGGACTGTGGCGTTCGAGATGTCGTAGCGCCGAGCGTAACGCAGGGTTAAATGTGTGTTGTTTTTGTTGATTAATCCGCACTAGATTTTGAACCACGCCAAGTGTAGAATTAAATAATTAAATATGTTTTTAATCGAATTTAATATTTAGACGTATATTCTAACATTTATAAACACACAAAAATTATATATATTATGCATACATATAATAAAACTAAATTTTGATCAAACATAAATATATTTTATCTTTGTTATTTTTCATTTCTNCCATCTNTTAAAAATAATNATNAATTTTTNTTTTTNAATATNNTAATNNNNCTTTTNACTCGGATAAAAAAATNTAGTATTATTGAAAAGAAAATAAGATATTTCAAATATTTTATATATTCCTTAAATAAAATTTTCTATATTAATTACTATATATTAGTTATTTTCATATATTTGTTATTAAGAATTTTTATTAAAAAATGAATTCTTTAAGATTCTCTTAAGATGACACCTAAAATTTTAATCTAGTGTCTCTTCTATTAATATATAGTGGATATAAAATTACGGTACTACTACTTAATGTGCTGAGCATTTAAACTAAAGGTAATTCGTCGGAAGGTTAATTTATAGGTATTTCTTTAAGGAAATTTGCATTCAGTATCAACACAATATAGGGTATTTTGACAGATATCAATTGTACTGTTTAATTTTCAATATACCGGAAATGGCCTTATATTTTGGTAGGCGTAGGGCATGTAGTGTTTATCCAGTTGTGTCAGAAGAAGATATGGGAAAATCTTTTGATTTCCAATTGTAATATAGGTGAGCGTAGGTCTGCAGCTATATATATATAGCCATTATGGTTGCAGAAG